CTCCATTTATAGCTCACCATTATTTCTGTTACGTATAAACGGTATTAACTCTCCTCTACAGCCTATGACAAGGGGTACCAGACAGGGCTGCCCCTTGTCACCTCTTTTATTTAATTTGGCGATAGAGCCCTTAGCCCATCTACTCAGAAGCGATCCGAACTGGTCAGGTCTAGTTGTAAACAAAAAAGAGATAAAAATAAATATGTTTGCGGATGACATGATCCTTTTTATATCTAACCCCAAAAAATCACTCACCTACATAGACAGGCATCTTCAAAGTTTTAGTTTAATCTCAGGTCTTACAATTAATGTTAGGAAATCTTTAATCTACCCCATAAATATCAAGGCAGAAACCAAATCCCACGTTCTCACTTTAAATTTAAATGGGTCACCTCATTTTTCAAATATTTAGGTGTGCAAATACCTTTAGATCTGTCGCAGTTGTTACAATTAAACCATCTAGTCGTCGCTTCTCAAATCTCAGCACTACTTAAAAATGGACTGTTCAGTGTCTCACATTACTAGAGCGCACTAAAGTAATTAAAGCGTTAATTTTACCAAAATTGATCTTTATTTTTAGAGCGCTTCCTATCCTAGTCCCGTCTTCTCTTCTAAAAAAATTGCAAAATGAAATCAACAACTTTATTTGGGGTAACAAAAAACTGCGAATTAGCTTCCACACTGTTACCAGACCAAAAAAACAGGGCGGCCTAGCAGTGCCTAATATCCAACTTTACTATGATTTGATAGTTTTCACCAACTTAATTAAACAGTATTGGAAATTGTACACTACAGACTGGAAAGATATGGAAGATTTTTATTTCCCAACAGGATCTTTCCATGAGTCTCTGTGGAATTACAAACACTTTAGAGGTTACAGGAAGGTTAATAACTTTTTTATACCCGCTACATTCCAGGTGTGGACCAAATACAATACATATCTGACCCCTTATTTATCTTTACTATCGAATTTCACCGGACAACCCTTGTTCAAACCGGCATGGCATCGTGGCTCTTTTAAAACATGGAAGCTGCTGAACCTGACCAGATTTAATGATATCCTAATTAAAGGCAGAATAAAATCAAAATCTCAGTTGGAAGGCTCGTCGGACCTGGTTATTCCGTGGTTTGAGTATTTTCAAATTAGACATTTAATTAACTCCTCAAAATGTGCCAAACTGCGGGTTAAACTCACAGAATTTGAAAAATTGCTAAATAGTCATTCCAATCCTGTAAGAGGCTTAATCTCCAAAGTGTATTTAATACTATTACGTCTCAAAAATCCGCCTTTACTCACTTACCAAACAGCTTGGCACAAAGACCTAACGCAATCACTAACTGCTGATCAATGAGATCAGATTTGGAGTTCCTCAGCTCTTACTTCCACGTGCCTAAATATACAACTTCCATCCTTTAAATTAATAACCAGATGGTACAAGACCCCGCTCCAATTATCACACATTTCAAATTCTACCTCCCCCACTTGTTGGAAGGGTTGCGGGCAAGTAGGTTCTTTTTTGCACCTATGGTGGACCTGTCCGTTTATAAGACAATTTTGGTCTCAAATTCTTGAAGAAATTAAAAATATTACTACACTTTCAATTCCTTTTTCACCAATTGTTATTTTGTTAGATTTGTGGGAAAACATTCGAATCCCTAAACACCAACAGGACTTAATAACCACATTATTGACTGCAGCAAAAACAAATCTTGCCACTAAATGGAAATCAACAGTAATCCCTACCGTACATGATTGGTATAAAAAGTCCTGGGAATATTTTGTTTTTGATAAAATAACCGTAGAACTGGAACACCCTGACGTAGAACGCCGAAAACTCTTCTTTGTTAAGAAATGGTCACCTTTTGTTCAAAAAGTTATGGGACACACGAATTTTTCTACAATAGACATATCCAACCAACCTGACGCTTTCTTGATTATTACCAGTTAGACATGATGTGTTAATTATTTTAATTACTCAGTTTAATGCTATGTACAATTTGTACCTTTGACAGTTATCTTTCTAACTTTATTATGTAATCTTTACATGTGTTTGATGTTTATGTTTATGTTTAATGTATGACAGTTTCTTAAATAAAAAATATATATATATAAAAAACAAACACTCCTTTTCTCTTTGAAACAAGGGCTAGAAAAACATGTCAACTAAAATGATTTACATCACTTGGCACTATACAGTAGTGTCTAGTGTTCTAAAACAGGTTGTCAACCCTTCAAGAAGATTCCCAGAGAATTTCTTCCCAAAGGCTTCTGTAAAACAGCAATAATCAATTTTGTAAAAAAACATTAGAGCCTGGGGCACGTCCTACAAATCCCCCCTTTGACCCAAAACTGACTCTTCAGTTTCCTGGGTCAGCCCCGGATGTTTACATTCACTTGCTGTACAACAGATTATTGCTGGAAGGCCATATAACATTGCTTAGCAATTTGCAAAGGTTTACACACACATTTATGACATTTAGAATACACTGGATATGCTGACATAAGCTTATGGCCACTACTATTATGATTAACAAGCAAACCCCCCACAAATATTATAAATCAGCTTCTAATCCCGATTACCATTCAAAGAAACAGCTCACCCATGGATGAACTGTTTAGAGGCACTGGAATCAGTAGGAAAACAATAAGGCTGGTGTGTGACATGGCTGCACAAACCCAGTAATCAGACACATTTAATTAGTGTGCTAAAATGTGTGCCATTTGTATATACAAATTGTCACTCCAGTCTCGATATAAATTTAAAGCTTCCACTAGAGCACTACTTACTTTTGTTACTAATCTTAAGCATATTAAAAGCATTATTTGCCCATGTCTAACCATCTTTTGTGGCAACAATTATCATTCTGTTTCTTTATATTAGCCATAATGTATTTCAGCTAATTTCAATATACTTATGTGTGATAAAATCTGTGGTATAGTTTATGGACTTAAAATACTGGTACACAAGGGGCAAGTCCACGAATATACTTCCCACCACTCCCTAGGGCTTTGTGACTTTAGGCTTTAAGGAGATGGTGGCCACTGTGTGTCCAAGCAAGGCATTAACAGTGGGGTATCTCCATGGATAATTTGCCACAACCTGTTTAAAACCTCTCGCTCTCCTCTGCACCCTTGAACATTGACCAATATTGTGGATGAGTATCTGTTATAATTCCTTATAGAAGTAAAGATTCTCCTATCAATGCATCTATGAATGCATTCTGCGAATCCAAGCTGATTTCCTATAGATATGGATAGTGTACTTCTATAATGTGGGCAGTACCAGGTAGGATCTGTTATCCACCTTCCCCTGCCTTCACTAAAGGTATTTGCATACATGTGCCACAAAGACTCAGGGGGCGATTTTGCACTAGAGTTGCCTCGCGGCGCAGCCGCCGTTTGCCCCGACACAGACATGTCAATTTCACACCCGAAGCCCCGGGGCTGCATTTTGACTCGCGGCTTCGCCCGATTTCCTCCACAGTTTCGTGATCCTGGTTTTTGAGGATCACGAAACTGTGGAGGAAATCGGGCGAAGCCGCGGGTCAAATGCAGCCCTGCAGCCTTGGGTGTGAAATTGACAAATCGTGTCGGGGCAAACGGCGGCTGCGCCACGAGGCAGCTCTAGTGCGAAATCGCCCAGGCACTGTAGGCTCTCAGGTTACTTCTTGAACAACAGTCTCAGGCCGTTGAACAGCTCTAAGCACCAGGTTGAGTCTTCGGGGCTCTTGTGTTGCCTTCTCTCCAGCTGTAGCAGTGTTGGCTACCAAGACATCATCTGTTGTCAACAGTCTCTTGCTTCCTTCTGGATGGTTAGGGCTTGCCCCTCAAACCGCTGTCTTGACTCGGGTGTGTTGGACCCAGCCTAGGTTGCCTTCGACTTTTACGGCAGCATAGACTTTTGTTAGCACTCGGAAAGGCCCCTTCCACTCTGGGGTCAATGGCTCCTTCTTCCATGTCTTCACGTAGACCCAGTCACCGGGCTGAACCGTATGGACAGGAGCGTCCAAGGGCAGAGGCGGCCATCGGAGGAAGGCACACCTGTGGAGGGTAGAGAGACAGCAAACTGCAGGGCAATAACATATTCTTTTAAGATTTGGTTACCAATTACATTTGATCATCAATTTCTAAAGTCACCCTTCCCTGAGGAGCCCCAACCATAAAGGGACGCCCATAAACCCATTCAAATGGTGCTAGCCCTAAGTTTCCCCGAGGGGCTGCTCGAATGCGGGTAAGGGCCAGTGGTAAAGCTTGCAACCAAATCAATCTTGTTTCAATACTTCTGGATGGGGAGGGCCCTTTGGAGGTCAAAGGGGAGGATTGTAAAGTGTGAAAAGTAAATAATTTTGTTTTTTAAAATGTCATTGAAATTACTAAAATGTTTGCATCACTGTATGTTCTCAAATAGACTCTGCTTAGTGTCAGTCTGTATTCCTTACAGTTAAAACTGCTTTGTGTTTTTCAGTGCAAAATGAAATATTTTCCATTCAGCAGCACCTTCTCTGAGTATATTTAATATGCCTTTTGATGCTCCAGACCAGCACAGCCTTCTTAGCTTTCGTTTGAACTTCAGGGTTGTCCGTCTCACTACTTCAGAGTCTGAGATTTACCTGTCATTTTTTTTATGTTTTGTTTTCTGTCTTCAAGTCGCAACTGGCTCATGGTGACCCCAGAGGGTCTTCCAGGCAAGAGGCATTCAGGGGTGGTCTGCCTCTGCTTAGCGGGCCTGGTATTCTTGGGTGGCCTCTCATCCAAACACTGACCAGGGCCAGCCCTGCTTAGCTTCTGAGATCTGCTGAGATCGGGCTGGCCTGGGCCGTCCAGGTCAGGGCTTGAAATGTGGACCCTGTAAAAAAAATGGGGGCCTGGTTTAAGGGGAGAGGCTCCCCCCCTCCCCTTTTGGTACCCCCTTGGTCTTTTTCGATTCTTGAGTCTTTCCTGTGAATGATGAGATGGTTTTACCATATTGGTCTCCCAATGTCTCCCCCCCCCTTTGCAGACACAGCTTTGTCATGGTCAAAGGAGCTGCTCTGCTTCTGCAAGAAGAAGAAAAGCTCGGGGCCCTGCAGGAGAGCCCAGCTCCTTCAGACCACAAGCAGGATGGGAATACCGCCGGGCAGCAGGAGCGGCACTTGCAGCAAATGGTGGGGCTGCTGAGGCCACAAGACACCATCCGGCTGGTGAGACGATTAATGGGGGGGGGGCATGGAAGCAGCAGTGTGGGAAGGAAACCAACTGTGCCCGTGTGTGTGCCTTTTTGGGTAGTCCCAGTGGGACTGGAATATCTGGTTCAGTGTTTGACAGAGGAATGAGGGACCTGTGCCTTCTTTCTCTTCCTGCTCTGGGACTTGCATCACTTCTTTTCTTCTTGCTCTGTTCTAGCCTGCCTCTCCAAGGATTGGCCCCTCACCCTTGAAAAGAGGTGTGCTTGCACACAAAAGCTTATACCTTGAATAAAACTTTGTTGATCTTAAAGGTGCATCTGGACTCAAACTTTGTTCCACTTGAAAAACGGGTGGCCGTATGTAAGGCCTCACACTTGCAGCAGATTCCCTTTCCTGGTTTAGCATTTCTTGCTGTTACATTAATAAGGGGGTAACTTCTTGCTGTCACATCGGATTCATTATGTCTGTCAAATGATCCAATCTACTTGAGAGGTTCCCCTTTGCACTGTAAGAGGGCCAGTCAGATATTTCCTTCTGTGTATTTCCTTCCATTAATTTTTATTGATTTTATTGATCTTTATCCCACCCATTCCGGCCTAGGTTGGCTCAGGGCGGCTCACAACCAGATAAAAGTTATCATAATACATAAAACATAATACATAAAAACATTAATACAGTTCTTAATAAATAATACAATACATTACTTAATGAATAGTGTAAGCAGTATTAAAATCAGACAATATTAAAGTGCTAGGGATTCCATTGTTTACTTTAGTTCTGTTGGTCCACTGCGATTGTGGGGGGGAGGGGGGCTGGGCCAGGCAATAGTCACTGAGACCCTGTGGCTCAGGGCTTCCACCGTGGTTATCAGTTGTTACTGATGGTTGTAGTTGTACTGGTGGTGGTGATGGTGGTGGTGGTGGCAGCGGCTTCAAAGGCCTGGCGGAAGAGCTCTGTTTTACAGGCCCTGCGCAACTGTAAAAGGTCCCGTAGGGCCCTGATCTCCTCTGGGAGCTCATTCCACCAGAGTGGAGCTGCCACCGAAAAGGCGGCTCCTTAACACTCGGGAGGACCAGTCAGTTCTGGGTCCCTGATCGCAGCGCTTTCCGGGGCATAGATGGGGAAAGGCAGTCCCTCGGGTATGTCGGACCCTGACCATAAAGGGCTTTAAAGGTAAGAACCAGCACCTTGAAGCGAATCCGGTACGCTATAGGCAGCCAGTGCAATGCCTTTAGCACAGGCTGGATGTGCTCCCGAATTGAGAGTCCCATCACCAGCCTGGCCACGGCGTTTTGGACCAGCTGCAGTTTCCAGATTTGCAACAAGGGCAGCCTCATGTAGCAGGCATTACAGCAATCCAGTGTCGAGGTGACCATCACATGGATCACTGTTGCCAAATCGCCACGTTCGAGGAAGGGAGCCAACTGCCTGATCAGCCAAAGATGGTAAAAGGCTGACTTGGCAGTGGCTGCAACCTGGGCCTCCGTTGTTAAGGAGGCATCCAGGAGGACCCCCAAATTCCTAACTTCTGGCCCTGGCACCAATGGCGGCCCATCGAAGGTTGGGAGTGGGATCCCAACCCCCAGACTGCCACGGCTCAGGCACAGGGCCTCCCTCTTCGTCGGATTCAATTTCATCCGGCTCAGCCTAAGCCAACCAGCCACGACTTGTAACGCCTGGTCTAGAACTTCCAGTTCGGAGTCGGACCGGCTGTCCAACAACAGAAAAAGCCGGGTGTCATCCACCTACTGATGGCAACCCAAGCCATACCTCTGGGCAATCTGGGCAAAAGGGCGCATATAGATGTTAAAAAGCATCGGGGAAAACATGGCCCCTTGTGACACCCCACATTCCAGTGGGTGCCTCCGGCACAGTTGATTCCCCAGCGCCACTCTTGGTCCCCGACCTTGGAGAAAGGAAGCAAGCCACTGTAAGGCAGGTCCCTGGATTCCAGTGTCGGCGAGGCGGTGGATCAGTAGCTGATGGTCGACCATGTCAAACGTGGCCGACAGGTCTAACAGCAACAGCAATGGCGATCCAGATGCCGCCGGAGGTCATCTGTGAGGGCGACCACTGGTGTCTCTGTCCCGTGACCAGGGCGAAAGCCAGACTGGAAGGGATCTAAGGCAGACACGTCATCCTGGAAGCTCTGCAAGTGAAGAGCCACTGCGCTCTCCGTTACCTTGCGCCCCGAAGGAGTAAGCCTTCCGGACGAATAACGCCATTAAGCTTTGCCCGGAGCCACCAGCTCTGTTCCTTTGCTCCTGCCCTACAGGTTGGACAGGCTGAGACAGATCAAGGAGCTGTGAGAAACAAGAGGATTTGTTTTGTTAGTTGGTTTTTTTTAAGAAGCAGCACTTCAGAAGACGGGTGTAAGGTGCTGGCCTAGTTCACACTGAGGAGGTTCACACTTCAGTCTACAGGTTGGGGGGGCACATAGGACTGACTGCACTTCTACACAAGAACAATGCCCTGCGTATAGAAAGCAATCCGAGGGTGACTAGTGTGGCCTGGTTCTCCCTCCCTGAGGTACTAGGAGGGTTCTGTTTGTAGGGTTCTCTTCACAAAGGGGCATTTCATCACGCCAGCTGCAAGTGTCACAATCAAAGCAAGCGTTTACTATTTCAGTGAGAAGTTTGTCACGATTCAGAGTTTGTGTCGTCATCTGAGTATTATTCCCTGTTTGTGACCTGACTTTTAGCCTTTCTCCTCCTCAGGGTGGGAGTCCAACATCTGCACTGTCTCTTGCTTGGCATTTTTTTTTAGCACAGCAGGCCCCCCCCCCCGCCGCCCAGAGCGCAGAGGACTCTTTGCTCGGGAGGACATGGCTGAGGCCTCAGTGTCCCTGCATGGAGACAGGGCGAGGGGGGGGGATGAGGAGAGATTCCTCTCCTTTTGGAATGCGGCTCTCGGGCAGACATCCATCCCAGAGCTGCAGCCATTTCCCCATTAATGGCCTGCGGGTCTTCTGCTCTCTTGGGCAGGCAGCCAGAGCTTGCGGCTCCACTCTCAGTGAGCCTGATTCCAACTCTGGCTCTGGGGACACTTTTGGGAGGTTTCCAAGCTGGGAAAAGTGAGTCACGATTGCTTTTGTGTACTTGAGGCAATCCTTTAAGGTGGTAGTTTTCAAGATGAATTCTGGGACATTTTAGTGCTGCTCAGAAGCTTCTTGGGAGGTCAGTAATTTCAAAAGGATAGTTGTGTTCAATGTTCCCTCTAAGCAATGGAGTCTTGTGAGCAAAAAATCTGCTTTGTGAGCTACTGACATTAAAGTTGTGAGCAAGCAATTTGGCTCCTGCATAAATTAGTTTGCTCTGGAGGCATCCTTCCTGAGCTAAGACAAAAATGTGTGAGCCGGAGGCTAAAAAACTTTGAGCTAGCTCACACTAATTCAATTTAAAGGGAACACTGGTTGTGTTAGTCTGTTGTAGCGCAATAAAACAGGAATCAAGTGGCACCTTTAAGACTAACCTAGTTTATTCCACCATAAAAGCTTTCGTGGATCAGAGCTCACTTCATCAGATGCATATGGAATGGAAAATCTTTTTAGAGATTTTTATAATCAAAGTCACAGAAGGGGGGGAGGAAGGGAAGAAACCCATTGTAAATCATTCAGGTACGAGTCCCCGTGTAAGGGCCCAGAGGATGTGGTTCTTACCCATAATGAACCGTGAAAGAGACCAGAAGTTCCAGCCTCTCATGAAGTACAGATAAACAGTGTAATAAAATAGGATAAACAACGTCTAATAAAGGAAGATGCAATATAGAACATAATAAAAAATAATTGACATATGTAAATAGTTTCAACATAATAACAATGTAGTGAAAACAATCTCTCTTAAGAGTGGGCACTGTTAAGCGGTTAGCATTTATAGTCCGTAAGGAAAGCCATGTTTCTGTTTAAGCCCAGAGGACAGTACTTAATTTTTAATGAGTTCTAATTCAGCAGTTCTGTGTTGGATTCTCCCTTTGAAAATTTATTTTGTAGGAGGACAGTGACTCTCAGATCTGAAGCAGTGACTGTGCAGAAATTTTAAAATGTTCCCTTGCTAGTTTTTGACGTCCTATTGCTGTGCACTTTTTTCTATTTCGTAAGGACTGACCTGTTTGTCTAATGTAGATAGTGGAAGGGCATAAGAACATAAGAGACCCCAATGTTGGATCAAGCCAAAGGCACATCCAGTCCAATACTCTGTGTCACACAGTGGCCAAAAATACCAGGTGCCATCAGGAGGTCCACCAGTGGGGCCAGGACATTAGAAGCCCTCCCACTGTTGGCCCCCCCCCCCCAAGCACCAAGATGACAGAGCATCACTTGCCCCAGAGTCCCTATCTATACCTTGTGGCTAATAGCCACTGATGGACCTCTGCTCCATATGCTTATCTAATTCCCTTTTGAAGCCGTCCATGCTTGTAGCACCCACCATTTCCTGTGGCAGTGAATTCCATGTGTTAATCACTCTTTGGGTGAAAAAGTACTTCCTTTTATCTGGCTAATAGCCACTGATGGACCTCTGCTCCATATGCTTATCTAATTCCCTTTTGAAGCCGTCCATGTGTCAGGACCCACAGCAACAATGAAGTACACACTTGCAGGAAGGTTTTACTTTATTTGAAGCTATAGATGCATGGACAGGAACACTGTTAGAAATTAGGGGTGAACTATGTGCAAAACAGTTATAGTACATTCATATGAGCGTTGCCCAATGACTATGGTTCCCACGCGTGCCCTTAGGCCTGGGAACTAACTGTTACCCGAAGCAAAAACAGGTACGAGCTTCCCATGGCTCTGCCTGCCTAAAGCCAAAGCAATGATCTAAGCGACTCCTCCAGTGGCCTTGAGAGATACGCAGAGCAGTTTACAGAAGAGC